ACAGAATGGGAACTCCAAAAGCAGGATAAGTCCAGTAACATGCTTCCAAATGACTCATGGAAACTCTAAAAAAGTCAATAAGATAAACAAGAATAACCAGCCATTCTTCATTATCACAGAAAAATATGGCAACTTAGCATTTCAAATGATTCAAACTAAGTATAAACACTACCATTGCTGTCATGATAGGCAAACTAAAAAATGAGTCAATTGCAAACACTGTGAGCAGAAAAATTGCACTTGTTTAGTTATGAAAACAGAAAAAATCCAGGGTCCGCGCGGAAAATCACTCACGTTTAGCTTCAACAGTTGAACACCGGCAATCAAATGTCTTCCTTGACTTTGTGGTTAATAGCAACCCATCACTTTGAACAAATTTCTTCGTTCTCAGATTGTGCACTACACTCAATTTGGGCTTAGTGGATCCCAAATTCAAACTTGTTAATTTAAGGCCAGAAGCCCCAAAACCACCTGGATTACAGAAACACTCACAAAATCAACAAACACATAAATTGTTTTAAAAATCCTAAAGGAAACAGAAAGCAATCAACACTACCAATAAACAGAAAAGAGTCAAAGAGGTCAGAAAATCTAATCTTTTTAAATTAATTTTACAGAGGCAAGCAGTAATCCAAGCTCTCTTTTAATCTGATCAATGCATATGTATTAAATAGAAAGCGATCAACAACACCAGATATGCCAAAACATACTTAGAACAGTAAGAAAAGCTCACGTTTTTACTAAATTAACAGAATAAACACATAAGAAAGACGCAAAATACCAACAAGTTTGAAATTAAGGCACATTAAAACAGAAAAAATACAATCAACAACGGCAAAAAGAGTCACTGAAGTAAGAAAAGTTCACATTTTTATTAAAACAAGCAATTATAGAAGCATAAGAGTAAAAAATACATCAATTTAGCCTACCCTAACTCCAACCCTTGTTTAATTGATTTTACAGGAAATTTACAGAAGTATAAGAACAAGCAATTACAAAAAAGATTTCATGCATGATGTATCAAACCACCAAGAACACTAGAGAGAATGAGCAATTGAGTACTTACATGCAGCCATAAGAAGGGTAAAAAAACCCCTATGAAAAAACACAGGCAGAGCTTGAAGCTTTGCTTGCTGGTGAAATGGCGATGGAAACAAAGAAGGAAGAGAAGTTTGAAACGAGAACAACGCCCTTATTAATTGTTTAATTAATCTAATTTCAGTTTAACAAGGCCCATTAATGAAAGGCCCGTTTGGAGAGGGCCCGTAATTGTGGATAAGGTGATCTAGTGGCCGGGTGGGTAACACGTTGATTGTTTGTCCTTTTACCAACTTTCTTGACCCAACGAAAAATATGAAACTAAAAAAGGTCATTAGTTAAAAAGATTTTAAAATTTTAAAAATCATATAGTAATATCCTAGCTACGTTATTATATTCTGGATGAGTTGGGTAGGTTATCTATATTTGGGCTCAATTTGAAACCCCCACTCATTATCATACTTTACAACAACAACATAATCTATAAGTGAGGTCTAAAAATAATAAAAATTACATATATCTCATAGTGTTAAGAGCTAATTACATCATATCCCTATTTGTTTCTTAAATTACAAAAAATCCTTAAATTTATAAGATCTCGAATACACCTGCGGATACATAACTCACGGATTGTGAATGATACATTACTTAATGAGAAGGATGTATTTGGTGAGTGATAAGGATGCATCCGAGAAAGGAGGAAGGTATCCGAGAGGGGAGGGACGTATCCAATAGGAGATAAGAATGTATTCTAGATGGCGTTACCCGTGTTATGCACATGCCCAATAATATATATGATATATTTTGAGGCTAATAATGAAGTTTAAGCTGTAGAAGCAATAGTAGACTATACAAATCCAACAATAAAATGTCATTGGTATTATATTTGATAGTCAGATTTTAATGTGCACTTGAATATGACCTAAAATTGTCTACAACAACAAAAAAAAAAAAGGAAAAGAAATATCAAGTCCTAGGAACCAAAATGGCAATTCCAATAACAAATTGATCATCCAGTACATCTGTGAAACCTATTGAGTTTAACTAAAGCAATAAAGGAAGCAAGGAAAGTGTCGAGCAATATGTTTCGCAATTCCCAATCTAAAAGTATAGATTAAAGATAACTTAGCTTATTATACAGCTTTATCCAATTCTACCCTTCTCTCTATCTGGTTTGAGACTCTAGAAACTCATGTTAGTCCTCTTTTTCCAACTGCATCATCCATTTTTTGGTTGGTACCTTAGATTCAGTAAAAGGTTTTGATTATCATGTGATGCGCACACACATGGTTGAGACGGACAGCTGGTACAAACAACGATGGTTGAAGGTGCAAATCAAGTGTTGATAAGTCCTCAACACAAGAACACTCTCTTCGAGTCAAATCGACCTTCCCTCTCATCTCAGGTGCTCAACATATGGATATTTGAATTTTTAGCTTTTTTCAAGAAATGGAAGCGCTTCTCGTATGGTAATAGCAACTTGTTTTGGGAGTCGTGGCGTGTACCAAAATGATGTAGGTTACTCTAGGCAACAACTGTTGATTTTTTAAAAAGGTTTTGTTTTGCAGAATCTTGTTTTTTCATACGTAGTGCTAGTAACAACTCTTCTCTTCTATCAGAAGATATACGCCGTGCTAGTAACAACTCTTCTCTTCTATTAGAAGATATTTGGCCATACGTATCACAAAGTTTAAGGTCTCCGCAACCTTCATTTTTTCTGCCTATAGATACTTGTTTGGTTCTTTCGAATTATTCAGCTATGCTAGTTCAAGCATGCTTTTTTTAAACCTGTAGATATTTACAATGCAAGTTATGCACCACTACTTTTTAGGACGGAAAGATAGAATGCTCGCTTGAGCAGAACTAAATCAACGTTGTTGTGACAATAATAATAATCGCGAAAAGATTGAACATACTTTCCAATTTGAATAGCTCACATAGACATTTTTTTTTAATTTCCAATATTTGCTAATCAAGCAATATGTATTCACATATTAGACATTGTCATTAAGTAAAGAATTGAGAAATAAAGCCTCCAACGTGACAACAACTATTTTTAGTCATGCAGCGGAAAAATGGAACAAACATCACGAACACTCTGTTTTTCCTCTTAATAAATGGCCTCAAATCGAAGACACTAAAAAGTTATTGCCGTAAACCCAAGCACACATATTTCTAGAGACCCAACAAAAGTTCAACTTTGCTTTACTGTTTGAGGTCGTTGAAATATGCTTTCTACAAAAGTTGAAAATGAAATACTAATAAATATACAAAACGTACTCAAAGTTACATTGTTGATCAAAACAAAACAAAAAGAATATCAATAAGAAAATAATTGATGATAATACCTTGTGTGTTTAGTGCCCCAAGTCTTAAACAATAGTCCCAGAATTACTAAGACAAAATAAATTGACTTTCTTCTCAAATTGACTTCACTCAGTTTGCTGATAAAGATAACCCGCTACAACCTGAAAAGGAAAATATACTTCAAATAAGTTAAGCGAGGCATATTATCAAACAACTTGGATGCATAATGAACTTTAAATTTATGTAATCTTTGATAGCTTAGATTTTTGTCAAGACATCTAACATTACACTAATTAATTAGTTACAAAAGACAACATTCATCAAAGATAATACATGTGCAAATCGGAATTACAAACATGCATGTAGAAATATTAGCTAGAAACTATATAAACAATTAAAATACCCATATCAAATTGTGATTAATTCTTCATAATAAAGCAAGACTAAGAAAAACCCAATCTATATTCCTCAAAGTAAGGTTGAATATGAAATAATTGAAGTGAGCAATATGATAGAAACTGGGAAGAACAAAAGCAAGGCAAACATAATAGCGAAGCATAGTTAGAATTCATCCTATCTCTTAAAATCGTCGGCGAGTGAGAGATTCAGAGAGTATAGAGTTCAATATTTCTCCCAGGGAAAACATATGTAGAAGAAAGGGAATAATGATGACGAAGGACGAATAATACCGTCTATGAGGAGAATGGAGATCAGATAACATTGGAGATATTGTAGATGAAAGAAGGAAGAGAAATAAATTTATCCGACGAAGAGAAAATCACCCATACACGTGGAAAAAGAAAGAGAAATACACATGTTCATTCAATGATTAAAAAGAGCAAGTTGATAGTACAATTTACAATACTCTTGTTGTAGTGTTCGTACACACAAAGTGCCATTTCTAAATATTAGTAATATATATATATATACTGTATTGATATTATTAAGATTTCTTGTTAAAAAACAACTTATTAGTCGATGATACTATAAGCGTATATATATATTTTTATGGTATCATTAAAGTTTCTTATTTAGAAATTACTCATTATTCAATGATACTATAAGAGGATATATACCTACCAATACACACACACTCTCTCTCTCTCTCTCTCTCTATATATATATATATATATATATATATATATATATATATAATGATTTAATATCAAAATTATCAACATTAATGATACCAATTTAGTGTATATACACTGATTTAATATTAGTTAAGCGAAATTAGTTAGAGATATATAGTGTAATGATTTAGTGGAGTATGAATATAAAGGGTTATATATTTATAATTTTTTTTGCTTTTATGAGATATTTGCTTAGTTTCCCAATAATATAAGGTCATATTATCTCATTCTATTTTTTATAAAATAATTTATATTTATTCTTTATATTTTAGATCTAATCCATCACACATAAATTAAAACGGAATGAGTAAATACATAATACTCTAATCACATGCAACCCACTTTAAAAGATCAAGGACCGTTCTAAAACACTTAAAACTATAAGGACAAAGTGTAAACACTTACAAAACTATAAGGATGAAAAAGCACAATTTACTCTTCACACAGTCCGAAGCTCCGATCTGTACTTCCATCTGTCCTCTTTTTTCTTCCGCCGTTCCGTTCTCCTCAGTCGTAGCAGACTTCGGAGACGTCACTTCCGGAAAAGGAAAAAAAAGTACACAAAAATCAAACCGGAATTCATCTGCTTATACTGAAATTGAGGAGATTTAGAAAAGAGAAATGGCTCTAACGAGTGTGAAAATGACGGAGGAAGTGTGGTTAACATGTCTCAGTCATGCATTGTCTACAGAAACAGAAGAGATAATGGGGCTTCTCCTCGGTGATACTCAGGTTTTAATTTTTATATTTTTTTTCATTTTTTCTGAAGGAAGTTTTGGTTGTTAGGGTTTTGGGTTGTTATAAACCCTATCTATCATCCAGGACTGCCATAATTGTTGAATGATGATAGTAGCTTTATGTCAATATTAGGTATAAATTTTTTGGGAATTCTTTCTTTTGTAGATATTTGCTAATTGGGGTTCTATTTTTGTTTACATTTTCTAAAATTATTCTTAGAATTATTGGATGATAGGTTTGGAAATGGCATAGGATTTCCTCAAAAACTTTTGTTTCTTTGAGAAATTGATATTATTGCTTAAAGGCAGTACTTTTAAGTTATTGTTAGATTTGACATTCCTTATGTTTCAGCTATTATTGATGTTTGCTAAATTCGTAATGTACTTTCTGTTAAATTTCCTGGAATTCAAGATTGGATGCCATAGCTGGAAATGGTAAAAAGAGATTTTGGAGAAAAAACAAACTTCTTTGCCTTGAGAGATTAATATTGTTGCATAAAGGTAGTAACTTTAGTCAGTGTTGGATTTGCCTTTCGTTAAATTCCAATCATGATTAATGTTTGACAAGAGTTGCCCTGCACTGGGGTTGGGCGGAATGATATAGAGGATCTGTATATCTGTCCTTACTACATTAACTAGTTAGGAACTGAGTAATTGATATGAAATTATGAATACACGTTCAGTTTGATAAACAGAGCTGGTTTAGGCGGTAGTGGTGGTTTGAACTGCCATATTTTTACTCTATAAAAAGGCGAAGGGGTTCTGAACTGCGCCTTAACAAGCTGATGCATATTTATGCCTTCTATGTGCTATTGAGTCTTGATATTACAGTACACAGTCCTTTTTACTTTTAAATAGTGCGTTGAGAGAAAGGATTCTCAAGATCTTGTCTTTACTAAACTTGCAATAGCTATACTTCATAATATCTTGATCAAAAGAATGTCAGCTGTATAAACTAAGGGTTCGTTTAGTAGAGTGTATAAAAATAATGCAAAATAGAATGTATTAGTAATGTTTGTATTAGTTATGCTTGCATTAATTATAAATAGATTATTTTTATGCATGTTTGGTTTTGTATATTAAAAAAACATGCATTGCATAAAAATATTTATTTACAAAAATATCCTCCACAATTACAGTGGAAAAGATGTAAAAGGGGTTTTGATGGGTAATTGGGTTAAACTCTTTAACCATGCTAATGCATGTATTAAATCCCTTTGCATTACTAATACCTAAAAATCTATGGTATTGGTAATACACTCCTCAATACACAATAGTGTATAACTAATGCAAACATTAATTATATATAGCATGAAAAAATGTACCAAACAAGGTAATACTAATACATAAAGCTAATGCATGTATTATTTTTGCTAATACACTCTACTAAACTACCCTTAAGTGTATAGTCTAGTGGTCAATAAAGTTGGAAGTTACCATAGAGTCAGGGTTCAAATCCCAATAGAGACAAAGTTCTAGGTGATTTTTCTCCATCTAAGTTAGATTAATTTAGGTACGCAAGCTGGGTTAGATTCACCGTTATAAAAAAAGGTTAATACTTTAATAATCGTGGGAAGTACATGTGTCTAATAATCGTGGGAAGTACATGTGTTTATGGGTGGGTTGTAGTATACTTGTGATCTATCGATACATAGAGTAAAGTTACCAGTTTTTTTAAAAAAACATTTGTTTATGGGAGATCATTTCTTTACGTGAGGTGGAAAAGGATTTTGTTTCTATTCGTTAAAACAATATGTTGGTGTCTCTAATAACCTAAAGTCGTGTTTAGTATCCCAATGTCTTAGTTTGACTAGACACCGAGTTTAAGAAATAAAGGAAGATTTTTGAATCTTTTGGTCTTAAATTAAAGATAAACGCCTATCAACAAGAAATGCTCCCAGACACTTTGCTCTGCACTTTTCCTTAGGTGGCTTATAGAGATCCCCTCTGGGTGTCTAGAGCTCCTTCTCCGGTGGTTCTCTGCCATCAGAACCTCTTCCTTTTCTTGCCTTTTCTTTCAGGTAGCATTTAGAACATGGAGAACAGGTTGTATTTCAGGCAGGGAGGAATGTCTTATGATCTTATAGAATATTTGCTTCAGAGATATGGTTTGAGTGGGTGGAGAGTACTAGGATGTCTATCAGGCGTATGATATTGAGCAGGGGAGATGTATTTGGTTATGCAAAAGATTAAAAGAAGCTTATGAAAGCTGGGGGAAATACATCAAATCATGGAGTTGCAGAGACATTTCGACATATATTTATTGCTCCCAAAAGTTCAATAAGTACGATCGATTTATTTCTGATCATTAATTATTATTTCAGAAAATGCATTTAATGAGGGATAAGGGGAATCTGGTAACAAAAGTGGAAAGTTCATTGATAGAAAAGTAGAGAAGAAAGGGAATTTATTACAAAAAGGGAGTTAAATCTCAATACTATTGCTGGGGAGGGGATTACCAGGGAGATCTGCATAACAGTAAATGGAGCAAGAGAGAAATGAATGTAGCCAGTGAGAACTCAATGCTTATGGCGACTTCAATGTAGATGACAACAACCCGTTCTGCAGATGTCTCATCGGTAGATTTTATTGAGAATGAGGTGCGCCAATTGGAAATGATATGTGGTTAAGGGCCTAACATACGTGGAAGGAAGCTTGTAATGTTCAGGTGTACAACATGAATGACTCTCTTTGAATTTCAAACTAGAAGGATGATTGAACATGTTATCATGGGTGATTGGAAGAGACAAGGTCTGACCTTGTATTTGGAATGGTGGTCGTCAATGATAGGAGTCTTCCTAGATGAAACTAGGTTTGGTTGGCTTTGGATTAGGGTTTTAGGGCTACCATTGCATCTTTGGAACAATAAGGTGATGGAAAATATAGGTGATGAATGTGTGTGTGTGGGGGGGTAGAAACTGAAGAGGACACAAACTTCATAAATCATCTGAGATGGGGAAGAATCAGGACCAAGGGAGAAGATCCCGACGAAGATAGAGATTGTCGATGATGGCCTTATATACTCACGGCCAGTATGGGTGGAGTGGTCGGTGATATATAGATCGATGGAGGCGGAGAAGAGAGCAGATCGAGGTGATAGCGACATACAACTGGATAGTATAGAAGCCGAACCTATGTTGCTAGAATATAGAGACAGTGTTAGAAAGAGGAAAAGGTCCAGAAACAAAGAAAACCTCGGACATCGAGGTTTACAAGGAAGGGGTTCTAGAACTGGGCCCCTGAGCACACTTTAAATCTAATAAAACACAAGCCCATCTCACACAACAATGGGGCCTTTCTAGCATGCCTAAAACTACTTTTTTCACTGAGCCTTTTTCTGATTACATTAACTCAGATTGGGGAGAAACAAAGCATCCTTCTAAGCACTTGATAATGGACTGGGAAGTGGGAACTGGGAATACACAAGCAAATGGAAGAAGAAGAAGAACCAAAAATCAGAAATCAGAAATCAGAGAATCAAGGAATCAAGGAGGCTCAGGTAGAGGAATGACTGAAGAAGGAGATGTCATAGCTATTGAAGGAAAGACAAATAGTTACTGTATGAGCAGGGTTGATTCTTCCTTTCTGGAAACTTTTGGGAATCAGTTGGTCACATACAATGAATCAGAACCATTGAGCATAGAAGAAAATCTTATGGAAGAGATGATAGAAAAAGGGCTACAATCTGGATACACCTTAATGTGATCAAATTAGGTCTAGCCTTTGGAGCAGCTATCAAGGGATGTGAATAAGAGGGTTATGCTTATTGCATGAAGCTGGATAAGATGCCTAGAGAGACACACATGAAAGGGCAAATCCTCAAATAGCAATAACAACACAATTTCAAAAGAACTCAGGAATCTAATGTTTGATATGAAATTCAAAGATGGTGAACCTAGAACCGGTGAGAGAAGACTAACCATTATGCAAAGATGAGGATAAAGATTGTGTCTTGGCATGTGAGGGGGCTTAATGAGGAAAGAAAGAAGGGGCGGTAAGGAATTTGATTAATCAATGGGGTGCAGATGTGTATATTTTGGTAGAAACAAAGCCAGGGGGAAATATATATAGACTCATTCATAGTATCTGGGATAATAGATGGATGAGAGGTACATTTAGAGGCAGATGGTAGCAGGGGTGAATATTTTTTTTTTTTTTGTTTTGAGAATGGTAAATTTACTTCGATATATCCAACAGGTATACTACAACAAGTGTAGTCCCCCTTCACAAAAGTTGTCACTTTACAACGTCCTAATGTATCTAATTACAGCCAGTCAATTGCATTAAAAACATCCTCTGTGCTGCCTATAACTACTTGTTTACACCGAAAATAGTAAAGGCATAAGCAATCTGTCTTGATCTTCTGTATGTTGCTCTTTTTGCCTTCAAAACATCTCTGATTTCTCTCTTTCCATATGGTCCACCAAATACATGCAGGAGCCATCTTCCATCTCTCATCCTTTCCTGCATTACCAGCATTAACATCACTGATCCAACTTCTTAGCACCTCTTTGATTCTCCCAGGTTTCACCCACCTGATCTTTCTCTTGTGGATGAACATTTGCCACAGCTGGTCTGTCCATACACAATGTAGAAAGAGATGGTTGACTGTCTCTATTTGTTCTTCGAATAATTATTTTTTGCGGAAATAGTTCTACTGTTTTCTTAGATTTTGTTAGCTCTTTAACTCTAGACCAATCATAGTCATGTTTTTAAGTCTCTATATTTTTTTATTTTGTGGCTGGCTCCCGAGTCTTAACTTTTATTATGTAATGGAGCTAGCATATCTATTTTTGTACTCTTTGGATCTTCTTGATTCCGGTAATGAAACAACTTACTTCATCAATTTTTTTAATCTTATGTGACAACAGAGTTAAGAAAGGGGAAATGGTAGAACATGGCAACCAAAGCATAACAAGTAAAATGTCATGGGAAAATTCTAATTTCTTTTGGTTTATACAGCAGTATATGCTGATTGTAAAAGGGTGGAAAGAAGAGGAAACAAATACGTTGGTATGCTTCTGGGCAATGAAGACAAAACTGTGAAAATTTGGTATGGAATTATAGGAAATAGAAAAGAGGCTGGCTAGGTGGAAGACATAGTACATAACACTGGAAAGGAGGCTCATACTTATCAACTATGTACTTGATGCACTTCCTATGTATGTAATGCCTTTATTTCCCCTTCCTTCCAAATTTATGAAAAAGTTGGACATATTTAGGAGGGATTTCTTGTGGCATGGGGATAAAAAAGGATACAATCTAGTCAATTAGCACACAAAACAACAATGCAGAGTAGAGAGCAGGATGGTTTGGGCATCATAAATCTGAGAGCAGAACAAGAACAATAGCTTATTAATGAAACGGCTCTGGAGATACAATATGGAGGAACATGCATTATGGAAGGAGGTGATTGTGCACAAGTTTAGTAAACTCAACCCATGGTGTACCAATGTGAGCACTAATACTTATGGGTTTGGAGTCTAGAAGACCATTAGAGCCTTGTGACCCAATGTAGAAAGGAAGTTGCAAACGATAGTTGGAGATGGAAAAAGAATAAAATTCTTGAAGGATGCTTGGAAGGAGCAAAGTCCTTTTATAGAGATTTTCCCAGACCTGTTTATTCTAAGCAACAACCTAGATGGTATTATTTATGATACTCTGATTGCATAGGGCTGGAACTTATCCTTCAGGAGATTGCTAAATGACCGGGAGATTGATAGAGTGGCTAATCTACTAAGTAGGATTGATCATTTCAGTGGCACTATTGCTGAACCAGATACATTAAGATGGAAACACAATATTGATGGGTAATTCTTTGTTTAAAGGGTTTATAGAATAGAGGGCAACCAAAAATATGGAGAAACTTATGGAAGAGTCCAGCTCCAACCAAGGTAAAATGTTTTACTTGGTTGGTGGTTAAAAGAGCACGCCTGATGCAAGAAGTTTTGAAGAAATAGGGGCCATCATAGTGTCGAGGTGCTTCTCATGCAATGAGACAGATGAAACAAATAGCCATATGTTTTTACACTGCATTTTTACTATACAACTTTGGTTGTTATTTTTCGACGTAACAAAGACAGGTTGGTCTATGCCTTAGTATATGGCAGATTTGCTTCGCTGCTGGATGATGAGGCAACAAAGGTTAAAAGAAGCAGTGGAGGATCATACCACAATGCATCTGATGAACTGTTTGGAGAGAGAAACTAGAGGTGTTTTTTGAAGATAGATCCAATTCCATTCAGAAAGTTAAATGGAATTGTATAATATCTTTCTACTTTTGGTGTAAAGAAGTAGGTTTAGAGGATATAGATCATTTTGTAGATTTATTAAGATCTATCCAAGTATCTTTGTTTCTCTTTGTTTTTTTAATCTAACATTTTTTGATGGTGTTCATCATGTCCTCAATGCTGAGGAATTACACCTTTACCAATTTCAAAAAACAATTAAAGATATGTGGTCTTTTAAATCTTTTGGTGTTAAAGTTAGGATGTTGGAATTGGAAAACTTGCTAAATAAAGAAAGAGACACTCTTTTTGTGACAGACCAGAAAGGAAAGTACGACACTTTTATTGGGACGGAGGAAGTAGCTATTTTGGTATATGCCCACGTCCTTCTGCCTTTGTGGAAACGTTTGGACTTTGAATTTGGTTTGTCAGGTTAAAGTTTAGGCATTAACTTACAAGGCATTCAGTATGTAATATGTATTGAGTTTTCTTCACTGATCAGGAAAGAAAAATAACATAGTAAGTCAAAGTTATATTTAATACTCCAGCTATTTTGGTAGATATGCAGGTGTATCTTCGATGGTCCATATTTAACCTCGTCCTTTTATGACGTGTCCCAGTAGTGTGTAACAGACTCTGATTTTTGCTTGTCATGTTATAGTTTAGACGTTTTCTTGCTAAACGTTCTGTATACAGTTTAGGTTTCCTTATTGATCAAGAAAAAGAATAAAATCATATATTTCTTTCCTTGATTTTTACATGCTATTGATGATGGCTATCCTACTAAACCATTTCCACGTGCAAAAGTAATATTTGTGCTGTTTCAATTCGCAGCAGTCAAAAAATGGTAGTGTGACTGCACTTATATGGGGAGCACTGCCACAGCCACGTTGTGACAGGAGGAAGGATCGTGTTGAGACCAATCCTGAGCAGCTAACTGCTGCATCAGTCAAGGCTGAGATATCCTTTTTGATCCATGACAAATAGTGATTTTTTTTCACTGCCCTTACCCCTCTAAAAGTTGCAACATAGAGCAGTATCATATAGTGACTGGTAAAATAATTTCTTTGTACTGTTACCTTTGTCAAAAAAAAAAAAATTTCTTTGTAAAATAATTTTTTTCTTCTAATTGCTTCAAAGATCACTTTTGGTAAATTTGCTGCCAAATGAGAAACAATTTTAGTGTTTATAAACTTCAATCTTTTTCTTCATAACATGAAGCAATTTGAATGACACTTCATGCAACGGGTTCTTCCTTTGTTTCCGCAAATGTTTTCTTCCTAATATTAACATGTCAAATTTATCAGCAAAACTTGATTTCTTTTCCTCTGATGAATTTGGGGCACATGTCAAATAACTTCTGTGGTATCATGTATTAGGATTATCTGTGCAAACCTTTTTTTTTAAATCGCAGAGTGCATGACATGCTTAATAGTATATGTAGAGCTTGACTTAACCATATTTTATGACATGCTATGGCTTTCTTGGCTTTGATAGCAGTTGGCGAAAAGAGATCTTTTCTCCCGTTTGAACTATGGTTTCATACAACTTAACCTGTTGGTTGAGTTCGTTGCTTGATGTATTCAAATGTATATGATTGGATTGTGGTTGTGATAATGCAGTTTCGTCTGGAAAATTGTATGCTGGATTTGTTACTTTAACTTTTTTTAGCACAGAATGACCCTGGCAACAGGAAGAACAACAAGAGTGATTGGCTGGTACCATTCACATCCCCACATTACGGTGCTCCCTTCCCATGTTGGTAGGTATTAAGTGCCTCTATGAGCACCTTCTGCTTAATAGTTTAGTCCCATTACATTTGAGAAACCAAAGATGGTCTTTCTGCCTGAATGTTGGTATTTTCTTTTGTACTAGATCCATCATAGTAATTGTTTCGGTATTTGGAATTTTGAATTTTGAACATAATACTTGATCTTTGGGTTGCATACAACATAATAAAAATAAGCACGTCGGCGGTAAATGTGACATAAATCAAGCTTGACTAGCACTTAAAAAAGCTAATTCAATCAAGAATATGAAGTAAAACCAACGTTTTATACTTGAACCTTACTATAGACTAGAAACACAAATTAGCCACATATATACAGAAGCGTTGTGTTTTACCAGTCTTTTTGTTTTTGTACAGAAGGGTTTCAAAATTTGTAATCCTCAGATGGGGCCAGGTTTCTATTTCTGTGCTTATAATCCAATACTTACACAGTTCAAATTAAGTGACTACAAATGAAATCCCTGAAATGTCCACTGAGTGTCATTTTTTTTTCTTCCGATTCCAAGTTCTCTTTCTTTCCCAGTAATGTCCACTTTTACTTTCTGCTACAACTAGAGTTTTGTGCTTGCTTGTATGACTGTTTTTGCCTCCATCCTTCCCGTCATGGAATTGATTTATTTTTCCAAATGTTTCATTATCCATCTATTTAATTAGGTTATGTCTACTGGTGAACTGGAAGGTTTAGATGGAGAAATTTTACCATTCAAAATCAATATGCGAGCTAAGTAGATATATGTTCCAAAACACAAAAGCAACTCATTTGGTGATTGATTTGTTTGGTTTGTCTTTTAATTTTCCCCTGTGCAGAATTGGCTTCTCATAAACTGTCTGGCCAACAGACTGTTGGGCAATTGTCTGCTCCTCTAAAAGTCAGCATCTTCTATGAATTTGGAACATTGAATAAGGCCTATAAATTAGACAAAACCTTGACTAAGACCTAAACTGAACAAAGATAACATTAACTTTCTCTAGAATAGGTGGTTATATAGAAAATTGAAATGCAGGGTAGGACTGCGTACAATAGAACCAATTTGGTCCTGTCCAGAACCCACTTATAGTGGGAACTTCCAATTTCCAAATACCATTTTCAACTTGAAAACAAATATTACTTTTTTTCAAATTTCACAATTTTTATGTCCAAACACCTACTTAGTGCACTGGAATGTCCTTTTAAATCCTTTTGCATTCTCCTAAGTTTCATCTGACTGTAGTTCTGTGATTCATTGATAGTTTGGTCTTCACCAACTTATAGAGATGACTACATGTTTTGTGGAGGTTATTTTGGGTTAAGTCCGGTCATAGTTTATTCTCGTTTCAGCTTAATACCTGTGTTTTCACTAGTTGCCTTTTTCTCAGTCCATGAAAATCATAACATGTTATGTAAAATCATGCAGATGTCCGCACTCAAGCCATGTATCAACTTCTGGATGCTGGGTTTATTGGGTTGATATTTTCATGTTTTAGTGAAGATGCACAGAAGGTAGTGTAAGATTGTTTGGAATCAAGTAGATCAGCACTAGTATAATGTCTTGACCAGTGCATATTTAAAAACTGTAGATCACCACAAGCATAATGTCTTGGCCAGTGCATGCCTACAAACTATTTGCTAATATTTCAGGTCGGGAGAATCCAAGTTATTGCATTTCAGTCCTTGGATGGAAAGCAGCAGAATCACATGTTGTTGAGGCCTATTTCCCTTTCCCCTGTACATAAAAATTCTGTAATAGACCTTGAATCGCCTTTAAGTTCCGCAGACACATCTAGAGCTGGTTCAAAAATTGAGATTCTTGAACAAGATACTGGTGATTCAAGAGCTTCTGCTTTAGCTACTAAGGTATGTTTAGTGGTTTCATAATTTAAATAAAGCATGTTAGTTGTTACTTACCATTTCAAAATCAATTAATTGTAAAGCATGGTAGTTATAGTGTTTTACTGGAATTCAAGAGGCTGCTGGCCATTTTGGCAAACAGGTTTAAAAGATATACACTGATTTTTTCAATGGATCAAATTTGTTGCTGTATGACTTTGCCTTTGGCATGCGAAGCTACTTGTGGATCTGCAGTGTTATGAACATACACTTCTCCCGGGAAGAATAAGTGTGAAGGGAAAAATTGTGGGCTTTATGATTCTTTCTCTTCTGCTGGTTATGTATTCTTTTTCTTTTAAAGTTTCGGGGGACAAGGTGTGAGGTAGGTTGGGGTTCGGTAATTTTTTATTAAACTTGGTTGATGGATTGGTTTTGATTGGTTAGAATGGGGATGATCTATGTACTTGGTGGATTCCCTTGCTAATACTGATAGCTGAGTTGGAGAAAACTGTCGTGCCAACTTGTTTTCGAAACTTATGATTGAGGATCTGAACTTTTTTCACTCCTCTCTCTTTTTAGCCTTGGACTTCTTCTTTACTCATGATAATCTTAACTGATTGGTTAGGGTGGGACAAGATCCACGGACTTGGGCAATTTCTTTGCTAATGTTGATAATAGAGTTGGAGAAAACCTTCACGCCAACAGTCTTAGTAATGCAGTCATTGATGTAGATCCAATGGACTTGTCAGAAAGTATGCAAGAAGCAATGCATCGATCGAATCTGGAGATGAGGTACATTTGAGTATGTATTTGATTACTTAATATGATTTGAACTGTTTTTTCTGACTACGTAAAAAAGCAATTTTGGAATTCTCTCTATGGTGCTGGTCTGGAAGGAAATTAGATAAGGAAGTCGTAAGTGTATGGTTCTAATACTTGTCCAGCCCCACTACTATGCCTTTTTTACTTTTGGGTTATTTGGAATGAAGGAATTTGGGTGGTTTGAAAGAAAGACAGAACCAACACACATGATCAAATACAAATATTTGTCTTCTTTTTGGCCTTTTGGTGTAAATTGCTAAAGGTATACGACATAGATAGGTTGATGGATTCCCTCAACTGCATGCACTTGTAATAGGACTGAGTTTTCGGTTGTGCATATTGACACCTTCTTTTTGCAGTTTACACCAATAAATTTGTTTACCTATCGGAAAAAAAAGATTTTGCTGTATCTGAGTATCAAGACCCTTCAATGAAGTAGATCACTGAATTTTTAATTTTTTTTTTTACCAGCTCATCATTTATTATTAGCACCACTGACTATTGTTAACAAAGTACCTCACTCAACTTCAAAAGTTAGCTGAAGTTGTGAGGATTATAACCCGTACCCTGCACACCTAGAGCTGGACATCTGGTGTTTGGATAGCCTCACATGCAGACAACACTGGCGACCTAAAATCATGGACAAGTTTGGCTCTGAGATAATGTTAAGAAAATGATGTTGAGTATGATTCAATCCAAAAGCTTGTTCATGAGGTGAGAATTGTCAAGATCATATAAAGAAACCACATTGTATACCCTCGAGCAATGTGGGTTTTTAAGAACTAGAACCTCTGAGTATCTTATGTGCTAAAAACCTAACAAGTTGCTTTGCTGGAGGAGTGTCAAATAGATAATTAGCTTAACCTGCAGTTGAGGAGAGGATGGTGTGCAAGTGGGTAACTGCATAAAATTAGATGAACAAAATTTCTACCTGACATGTTTTTGCAGAATCTTGGGCAACTGCAAGTGTTAGACTCAAGAGTATTTTTTAATTTTGAGATAATGCGAAGTTGCTTGTACACTGAAGTTTATTTAACCCTCACCGCACCCAAAAAAAAGAAAAAAAAAAAAGAAAGAGAAGCTTTTGTTGTTTAATAAAGTCTCTCTTGTTGAGAAAATGTTGTTCGTCTATAGTGGTATCTATAATGAATAGTCAAACAGTCAAAGCTGTTTAATTCACCTCTTCCTTTGATTCAATGAATTTCTATGTTTTCTGCTATTTGCTTGTTATTCAAATTACTGATTCAACCCTTCTGAAGCATGATAAATGCTTGGCTTAATCTATAAATATTTTTGGTTGGTGACAGTGGTGCAGAATATGTCAGAAAGGAAATCCCTCTTCTTGTTCTGCCATCCTCATCTCTTTTCAATCTTGATGCACCTTTGAACTCATTCACGGATCTGCAACGGGTATTATTTGAAGAAGAACGAACTGCATATAATCAGGCTGTTGTAACAAATATGAGGTGGTCTAACTTAATGTGTGCTTATTGCTTGCTTTGCATATATGTGCTTTTTAACTGCTATAATAATTTGGGATGGCTTTCTGCAGGGAAACAAAAGTGCACCCGCTCACTTTCATTCATCACACATCTACATATCAGGCTTCTATGTGCAAATTAATGGAGTATTGGTAAATGAGCTCACTCTTTGACGTCTGTCTTAGAACTCAGTTTTTCTTTGTGGTTGTGATATATTTTATCACCACTTTGTTCTGTATCGCAGCTTAAGTCCCGCCATCAGTTCCCTCCAGGACCAGTTGAGAGAGAATGAAATTCGGGTATGAATGCTTATTTATCTTCCAATCTTCATCTATTGTACTTCTTTCTTCAGATTTTACCTTCCATTGAATTAGTAGACCTTGGAGTAGATATTTAGACTCTCGTCATGTACAAATGTTTTCGATTTCCTGAGATGTTTCAACTTCTTTTGTCTAGCTTTGGTTTTGTGAAATATGTCATGGACTATCTTGGTATCCCATCAGAACTGCTCAACCACCCTTACTTTGTGTGCCCCTATGCTTGTTAGGGAAGTCTCGAGTTGCTCAAAGGTAGTATTGAGACTTGAGTACAACTTTGGCAAAGTAATCCTCAAAAGTTTGTGTATTTACGAGATCAGTATTGCATAACTAGTTGGCCTTCCATTTTTAGGAAGTCTATTGAAAGGGAAAATGATCCGTACTAAAGGTTATTCCAGTTGTACTTCCCATTGGCTTGCATTCAGACATTAGCTGTTTGGGCACGAATTATGCTTCTTTTAGTAGTAATATTTTACATGATTTGATGGCTGAATAGTTTTATCTGCTTTTGCTGGAACAGCTAAAGATGCTAAGTGAAGAAGCCGAAGTTTTGGAAACTGAGACTATAAGAGGGGAACCAAATACAAGTTCTCCTCGTCGAGGTAGTGCTTCATTGGGTCAAAGAGACTTGTACAGTCCAACCGAGTTAAGAAGTGTTTCCGGTTCAAGTAGTCGGAGCAGAAAAGCACCCTAATGAAGTAGCAAGGTCGATCTTACCTATGCAAAGTGTATAGTAGGGGTTTATTTTGTTATCTCACCTTGTTGTGACTGCTTCTGGTCCCTTTTGGTGCTTAATATGATGCCAAGTTTTGGTTATTTTCGAGTTTGTACAAGGCAAATTTACTGCAATGGTTCTGGCTTTAGAGCCAGAATTCAATGAGGTGGTGTATTGGAATTTAGAAAATTATGAAATGCAAACCAGAACAACTAGTGGACAACCTCAGAGATCTTTGTTCTTTATAACCCCCCACCCCCACCCCTTCCCTCCCCAAACCAACCCTTGTCATTTGTTCTGTGTGAAAAAAGCAAACAGCTTTAATTAATACAGGATGTGTATTATGATTATGGTCACATAAAAATGGTCTTTTTCTTCAGAAAGTTTCATGTTTACAATGCTGTGAAGGAAATTAGTTGTAATTATTTGATACACACCTTCATTGAAATTTATTTACACAACCTGCTGCAAATGCTTTGTCCAAAAGTGTATGAAACTAGTTGTGTAGATTTGATTCATAATTAGGAATTTATTACTTTAATATTCAATAATTCTCTTGTTTGTTCATTTACGTGCAGTCCTCTTACTCGTTGGTGCTAAAATCTCCCAATCCTTCTTTTGCAAGCGTATATCAAGTCACATACCCCTCCATTCCTATTTACTTAATCATGTTTAATTTATCACCTAATTATTAGTACTTGATTTTTTAAAAAATGAACCGTCCCTTTTCCATTATATAGGGGGATAAGATATTTTTGTTTTAATTTTCATCCTTTCACAAGAAGGAAATTTCATTTCCCAAATCCACAAAAATATAAGTATAACAAATTGTTTTACCCAAGAAATTAAAACAGCACGGATGGTAGGTGTTAATTTAATAACAAGAACAACATTTTCTTCAATAAACTTGTATAAAGAAAAAGAGAAGACAATGCCTATGGTAGGGTGTGTGCTAAACAACAAACCTCATAACAGGCTACAACAATAGTAAAAGAAAAAAAAAGAGGAAACTATTTATGACTTAAATGTTGGTGTTAGTTGGGTTGTGTTTTGGGTATTCATCAAGGTAATTTGGGATACCACCGGTAGCTGCGTTGTCATTATTTGCTCCTCCAACAGTATTTTTGACAGCATCAGCCGCACCTTGAGCAATATTAGCAGCACCCAAAGCAGCTCCACGAGCCACGCTCACTGCACCTTGAGCTGCTCCTTTTCCAATATCTGCTGCTCCTTGTGCCATGTTCTTCACTTGATTCCCAGTCTTCAATAAACGAACAAATATCCTTAAACTATGTGAAATGAACAAAAATACTCCAAAAATGGCCGTATAACTATATATGAAAGGCATTACTTTATTTACTTCACATAGTTTGCAATCTAGAGTTCAAATTAATCCCTAATTTGCACGTATAATTAATTACCTCTTGAAGGAAGCCTTGGTTCTGGTTATGGATATCAGAAGGTGCGTCTCGTCTTATCTAAAAAATTAGGAAAAAGAGTAGCTTAAATTGGCATGATGTTGAAGAAAATAGAGAGGATCAAACTTCAGTAATTAACAATGTAAAGAGTAATTAATTATTGATCATACCTGATTTTGGCTACTGTTAAAAAGGTTGTCATTACCGTGGCTGGCCATGTTATATATCTTTTTTATACTTTCTCTGTGTTGTGAATAGATGAAATGGATTTGATGTTGGGTGACTAATGTTGTGTGAATTTATAGTGTTGAGGCTCCTCAAATGGTGACCAAAGTACACGCATTTTCCAACACATGGCAGCACATAACACTATAATTAATAATCTGCGTAAGGGTTACTCCGTTTTATTTAGAACGCTTCTATCGGGTAATGAGTTACCCATATATATTTTTATGACATGACAATAATAAATAAATAAATATTATTTTTTAAAAATGAGACATGACAACTATTTTAGAAGTGAAAGAATAGTATATAACATTTCTTAACGATATAATAACTTGTTTGAAAACGAAACGACTCTTTAATACTCTCTTTTATCCTATATTACTTATCCATTATTGAGTATGACAATAATGGACTCCTAAATAATTTTAACCGCGTATAATTATAAATAGTAGTAATATTTTTCACCAAAGTGCCACTAACAGAAGGCTGACTCTCATGTCCCTGCAACAGATATTGTTGGACATTCCAAAATAATATAATGGACAACTATTATTGGACATAGGGATATTTTAAAAATAAATGGGAAAAAGGACAAATATATTCCGAACTATTGTAAATGGTATGCAGATACCCTCCGTCATATTTTTGGAATATTGGTGCCCCTCCCATCTAAAAACTAGAGCATATATGCCCTCACTCTAACGGAAGACTAAATATGGACACGTGGCGCAATCTTATCCGTCGATAAGTGTCGGATCGATGAATTGACACGTGTATGTCCGTTAATATAAATGGTATATATGCTCTAGTTTTTGAACGATAGGGGCACCAATGTCCCAAATGTATGACGAAGGATATTTACATACCATTTACGATAGTTAAGGAGTATATTTTTCTTTTTTCCAAAAAAAATAAATTATCTCTTTGGCTTCGTGCCTACCAACCAAATAAGGAAAATCAAAGCTTTCGAAGAAAAAACAAAGAAGCTAACCGTCGAGGGGATATGTGCTCTACACGCGTCATTTAGGAGGGGACACATGTCGAGGCATTGGCTGAAACGTATCACAATTGTATTTGACAGTTGAAAGTTGAAAGTTGAAACCATGTCGAGCCAATTACTTCATTCCAGTTCAGGCAACCGCATCTTTCTTAGATTTACGCGGGGATTATAGTGAAGTGATAAAGTATTTTTTTATTTTAAATTAAAGATTTTAAATTCGAATTTTCATGGAGTTACTGAAATATTTAACTTTCAATATGAAACTTTTCTATCCAAATTTAAATTTAATCTAATTTCTACATCAAATATAAAATCTACGCTTCTACTCCCTCCGCTTCCAAAACAAAGGTTAGCTCAGCAAAAACCATACATTTATTAAAAGGATAATATTTTAATTTATTTAATATAATAAAATAAATATGAATATTATAAAAAATATAAGAAGACGTCGTAATATCATATATTATCCTTATAAAAAGTATATATTCATTGATCTTTTATCAATGAGTAGGATTCTATATAGATAAAATATTGTTAGCGTTAATAAAAAATTATCAAATCAAAAAATGTTTTTATGATTTTTAGAATTGATTGAAAAAATAAGTGTGTCATATAAATTGAGACGAGGGGATGAATATAATAATTTACTAAATCATCACTATTTAATAATTTATAAGATAATCCTTATTTTGGGATACTTTTTTTTTATTATTAAAATTGATACTTATTTTGGAGCAGAAAAAAGTTTTAATAAATAATATTATCTTCACAGACATGTCTATTTTATCGAGCCACTCTCCGAGACAGTGCCCTTATTACTTATTAGAGCTCGTATAATATTTAATTTTACTATATATGTTTTAAAGCATAATCTGAATGCGTGTGTACATATATATTGACTTTTAACTTCATAATATATTTATTTTTTAGTATTTTGAACACTTGAAATCCTCTTTTAATTGTATGGAAAATAAACTATATATATATGTAAAGTTGTGTTGTATGTGTGTAGGAACCACCACCACCTAAAAACATATGATGTAGTCTTATAAGATGTCATATATATATTATACTAGATATGGGACCCCGTGCCAGCACGGGGCCCAATATATGTTACTGTTTCTGTTTTAATTTATGTGGTACATATGAACTTTGAAGTTAATCAATTTTTTAGTATGTTTTTATATATTTTAAGTTGCTAATTATTTTTATTTAGAGTATGTTTTACGTAAATATATTATAAATCACAATAAATAACAAGTTAATTTTTTAAAAAAAACTTATAAAAAATTTCATTGACTTTTGAAATTTCATTTGTATCACATAAATCAGGACAAAGCGAGTAATATATATGAAACTGACATAAAACGTACTATAACTCACAATCATTAGCAACTTAAAATATCTATATATCTATATTTCTCCCAATTTATGTAGTATAGATGAAATTTTGAAAGTTAACAAAAACTTTTTATATGTTTTTAAATATTTTAAGCCATTAATTATTATAATTTATAATACTTTTTACATAAAAAATTTATTTATATAAAGTATAAAAGAAAAAATTTTAAAAAAGGAAACATAAATGTTAGCAGGAGTCCAATCTATGTTAATTTCTATGTTTTAATTATTGTAATACCGATTGAATTTTGAGAGCCAACTAAATTTTTTTAAAGGATTTTTTTTATAAATTTTAAGTTGTTAATTATTATAATTTATAATATTTTTATTAATTTTAAACCAATATATGTTTTTCTCTGTCTCAATTACATGAGACATATGGAATTTGGAGAGTCAACTAAAATTTTAAAATATGTTAAGTTGTTAATTATTATACCTTATAGTACTATTACGTGATTTTCAAATAAAATATGTAATTTTTTTATTTCAATTTATATGTCATTGATATAATTACATATATTGAGTAATGAAGAATTAATGTCTAAATTATGTGACACCTATGAATTTTGGAGTGTAAATCAAATTAGTTATATGATTTTAAAAAAATAAAGCGGTTAATTATTACAATTTATAATACTTTTTATATATTTTTTAAATGATATATATATATATATATATATATATATTGATATTGATATTAGTATTATATTAAATTAAATTTTATTATTTTTAAATTTATGATCTCAATTGTCAGCCTATGCCACATTATAAAATGTTCCAAAGTAGATATCAGATTTACAAAAATGTCGATGCCAGCTAAAGTAATAAAATAACATCTAAGGGCATGAACATATATATGTATATATAAAGTTGAATATAGACAATCTGATGTGGCATCTCTCTATGACCAGTATTTCTATTCATCTTTTTCTCCTTGTTTTGACATTTTATCTTTGTTTTGTATTTCTTATTTGTATATATTTTTTTAAAAGTATTTATATCATACCTGATTAATTATGCCCTTTATAACATCCAATACACTAATATAGATTTAAGTAAATGAAAATGGAAGATGAAAAGATAAAAACTATTCATTTTTCATAACTGTTTATAATTATTTAGCCTATAAAATAAAAAAAATAGTTGACCATTTGTAACAATTAAGAACAAATTTCTTCGCT